CTTCAGAAGGAATCATCAGTCCTCCATTGTTTTTCAGTGTAAGCAAGTGGTAGCGCTGATCAAATGAAGCAGATACAGCATCTGTCACCAAGCTAGCACGACACACATCACAGGACAGCTTCCTCAAAATCTGATGAACAACAAACCCTGAAATGTCCACAAGGGCATTGTCCACAAGGCTCCCAAGAGGGGTTGGCAGGTAGCTGTGGTCACACACAAGTGCAGAGATGTTTACAAAAGGGGACGGAAGGTCTTCAGATTCTTCTGCTGCTAGAGTCGACGACATCTCAACAGCCGATAGGGACACGGTCTCATTCTGTTCTACCACATTTCCTGAAATGCTTGGTGAGACACCTCACCGGACCATGAGATGGCGGAAAATGCCCTGGAACTGGCCTGCAGTAGGATTGTTATTCCAGCCTCCTAAAAGCAAATACACAGACACATTCACAACACTTAAGGAATAGTTCACCCAAAAATGAAAATCTGTTGATAATGTACACACCCTAAGGCCACCCAAGAGGTGTAAGACTTTTTTTTATCAGACTAAAAAATCATTAGATGTAGAAAGTTGTATATATATCTTGGCCTTGGTGGAGTAACAGGTAGGTAAACGAGCAGATTGTGGAGTAACAGGATAGTAATCCAAAGAAAGGCAGTAGAGCTTGGGTGAGACAAAGCCGCAGGCATTTAGGAGTAAGACTGCATGGATGTTTGAATCGGGATTTGAATTAATCAAGCATTTAATACTGATATTTGCACTTTTCAAATGATTTTTTTTTTAAATATATTTGCAAATTTCAGAAATCCTTACCTGATGCCTTGATAGAATTGAAGAGGAGCTCCAAGTGATCCTGGCTAAATCGATAGGTGCAGACATATCGCTGAAATTGTAGCAGCTTAGGAATCAACAATATGAGGGTACCAATGTTGATGATGAACCCATGACAGACAGGTACCTTCAAAAGAAAATGTTTTGTCAGTATGTCAGTATTGTCAATATGGCAAAATCAAGATACTTTAAAAATATGTTATTTTCATTTTACCAGAGTAGAAACGGAGTCTCTCTTTCAGATCTTCATTTATGAGGTTCTTTCCCTGCAGATCCTCTAGAAGATCACACACAGTCTTCTTTGCCCTCCGTTCCCGGTCCTTTACATTCCTCAACTCGTGCTCTAGACTCTCCACTCTAGCCAAGGCTTCACAGAGTCTGGTCTTTAGACCAGTGGGAGATGCAGGCAATGCATAGGGGTGGTCCTATTAGAGAAAAGAATGAACATATTTTGAGTAATGTTAATTTCACACGAAACACAGCCTCAGCTGTTTGGGGCATAACTAGTACAATGTTCTGTCAGCTGGCTTGCATTCTTAAACATGCTGGTGTTAAATATGCTTCCCTGGCTGATGCTGACACACACTCACACACACACACCCACTACCCCTCTCCTCACACACAAACACACACACACACACACAATTACCCACAAACCCACTGTGATAGCAGTGGGATTGAGGGGAAATGAGGTTAAAGGACTATTCTCATCAAAATTCTCATCATTTACTCAGCCCCCTTCCATCCCAATTGTCTAAGACTTGTTGATTTGAACACAAATATTAGGATTTTAGAGTTTTTAGATGAGTAGGTTGATAGAATGGAAGGAGACTCCTTGTGTAAATCAGGCGAACAATGAAAATCATACACATACCATCTGAGATGAAATTAGAGTAAACAAATTACGAATGGAAGGAGACAAATTGTGTAAAAATCTCCAGTTTCTGATCAGGCGAACAATGAAAATCATACACATACCATCTGAGATGAAATTAGAGTAAACAAATTACAACAATTTTTCATTTTTGTGAGGAACAATTGTTTAATATCATGACCCCTCAATCCCACTGCCATCAGTGTTTGTGTTTGTATGTGGGTCAAAGACAAAATGTGTTTCCAGCAACAAAAAAATAAAAGTATAATTTCCCCAATATTTTGACGTTATTGTCTCAAAGGTTATTTGAAATATGAAAGTAGACAACTTACTTGCATTTAAGATGTTTTTATGCATTTAAAAATGACATTTGTAAATGTAATTTGATGCGGACAACAAAATGGTGACATCTGGTCTTTGACCCATGTACGTGTGTGCAGGTGTCTGAAAACAGTGGCATAGTCTGACTCCGACGGTCAATTACTGTCAACTTGTGTCAACATAATGTTTTAATGACCAAATACAACCAGATCAGTGTCAGTCAACAACTTTTCAGTCTTACCTGTGAAAAGTAATTCCCCCTATCTTCT